CTGCTGCTGAAGGACAATATACAAGCTGCTGAATGACGGAGGGTTACTGCTGCTGAAGGACAATCTACAAGCTGATGAATGACTGAGGGTTACTGCTGCCGAAGAACGTTCTACAAGCTGCTGAATGATTCAGGGTTACTGCACCTGAAGAACGTTCTACAATCTGCTGAATGACTCAGGGTTACTGTTCCTGAAGAACGTTCTACAAGTTGCTGAATGACTGAGGGTTACAGCTGCTGAAGGACAATCTACAAGCTGCGGAAAGACAGGGTTACTGATGCTGAAGGACAATCTACAAATATCTGAAAGACTGAGGGCTACTGCTGCTGAACAACATTCTACAAGCTGCTGAATGACTCAGGGTTACTGCTGCTGAAAGACAATCTAGAAGCTGCTGAATGAAAGACGGTTACTGCTGCTGAAGTACAATCTAAAAGCTCATGAAGTATTGAGGGTTACTGTTGCTGAAGGACAATATTCAAGCTGCTGAATGACTGAGGGATACTGCTCCTGAAGGACAATATACAAGCTGCTTAATGAATGAGAGTTAATGCTGCAGAAGAATGTTCTACAAGCTGCTGAATGACTGAGGGTTACTGCTCCTGAAGAACAATCTAAAAGTTGCTGAATGATTGAGGGTTACTGCTGCTGAAGAACAATCTAAAAGCTGCTGAATGACTGAGGGCTACTGCTGCTGAAGAACATTCTACAAGCTGCAGAATGACTGAGGTTTACTGTTGTTGAAGGACAATCTACAAGCTGCAGAATGACTGAGGTTTACTGTTGCTGAAGGACAATCTACAAGCCGCTGAATGACTGAAGGCTACTGTTGCTGAAGTACAATCTAGAAGCTGCTGAATGACTGAAGGTTACTGCTGCTGAAGAACGTTCCACAAGCTGCTGAATGACTAAGGGTTACTGCTGCTGAAGAACAATCTACAAGTTGCTGAATGACTGAGGGTTGCTGCTGCTTAAGGACAATCTACAAGCTGCTGAATGAATGAGGGTTACTGCAGCTGAAAAATGTTCTACAAGCTGCTGAATGACTGAGGGTTACTGCTGTTGAAGAACGTTCTACAAGCTGCTGAATGACTGAGGGTTACTGCTCCTGAAGAACGTTCTACAAGATGCTGACTGACAGTTACTGATGAAGAAGAATGCTCTACAAGCTGCTGAAAGACTGAGGGTTATTGCTGCTGAAGGACAATCTTCAAGCTGCGTAAAGACGGAGGGTTCCTGCTGTTGAAGGACAATCTACAAGTTGCAGAATGACTGAGGGGTACTGCTGCTGAAGGACAATCTAAAAGCTGCTGAATGACTCAAGGATACTGCTGCTGAAGGACAATCTACAAGCTGCTGAATGAAAGAGGGTT